AGCATTTTCTTGCTTTCAGGTTGTTGGTGTGGAGTGGAAGATGAGGAGGCACCTTCTAAGCAGAGTATTTATGTGCAAAGAGAGACTCAGGTCAGGACTCCTACAGCAGGTGTGTCCCCCAAGAAGGCTCACCCCTGTGAGATGCATGGTTCGATCTTGGGGGACATTTTGCACATGGCAGATCATCAGGGAACATATCACAAGCAGATAGAGCACAGGTATGAGGCATGGGGGAGTAAATCGTATGACAGTACAAACTTTCATCGGCACACGAATCAGTACATTGGAGAGAAACCCTATAGAATCAGTGTTGAGGAAGCGTTGTTTGTGAAGAGGTGTAAGTTCTATGAGTCAGAGGAGTCATCTGTCTTCAGTCAGAGTGTTAAGGACTTTTTGCCCAGGTCAGGATTACTTCAGCAAGAGGTCATTCACACTGGGAAGAAGTCAGACAGTAAAACCGAGTGTGAATCACCCTTTCACAGGGGGAAAACGCGTTACAGCTGTGGAGGATGCATGAAACATCTTAGCACCAAAAATGTTCTTGGTCAGCATCAGACATGTCCCCCTAGAGAAGAATGTTATGTGTGCTGTGAATGTGGGAAATTCATGAGCAAACATGATAGCTTTAGTAATCATCAGAGAGTTTGCACTGGAAAAATAGCTCATGAATGTGGAGAATGTGGGAAATCTTTTAGTTCAGAAGGACATCTTAGGAGCCATCAACGCGTTCACACTGGAGAAAGACCTTATGAGTGTGGAGAATGTGGGAAATCTTTTAGTCATAAGCGCAGCCTTGTTCACCATCAGCGAGTTCACAGTGGAGAAAAACCTGCATGTGGGAAATCTTTGAGTCAAAAGGGTAACCTCATTCTACACCAGCAAGTTCACACTGGAGAGACAGCTTATGACTGTGGGGAGTGTGGGAAATCTTTTAGTCAGAAGTACATTCTTATTCAACATCAACGAATTCATAATGGAGAAAGACCTCATAAGTGTGGAGAATGTGGGAAATGTTATAGTCAAAAGAGCAAACTTACTCAACACCAGCGAGTTCACACTGGAGAGCGGCCTTATGAGTGTGGGGAGTGTGGGAAATCTTTTAGTCAGAAGT